ACCTGTGAGAAGCGGCAGCATCAAGACCCAGGGCCAGGACTCCTGACCTGGGGCTGTGCCCAACACCATAGCCACTGGCCACAGGTGGCCACTGACTGCTTGAGGGGTGGCTGGTCTGTAAGGAGATAATGCAGGAAATGTCAAATACCCTAATTCGTGCAAAAAAGAATGTAAACTATCTCATTAACAATTGTTTCACATTGAGTGCAAACACGTTGAAAGGATAATAATATTGGATTATACAAACAATATTATTAAAATTAATTCCACCTGTTTCTTTTTGCTCTTTCTAAATGTGGCTACTAGGAATTCACAGATATGGTTCCCATTTGCAGGCTGTATTGTGTCCCTGTGGGGTGCTCTAACTGCTAGGAGAAACTGAGAGACACCTCCATATTTTGAGTGAGAATAGCAAAACAGGGACAATAGAGACCTGGGTGGTCTTGGCTTGGTCAGCTGTCCTGCCCTGGGAAGGCCCCTTCGCACTCTGTGCCTCAGTTTCCCTCTTAGGAAAGTTAAAGGACTGGCCTGGGTACGTGTCGGGAAACTCTCCTGATGCCAGTTTCAGGCCAGCCAAAGGGACACTGGGCCCTGCTTCTGGTCCTTCATAAGAACACAGCAGATTACCCTGGAGTCTGTGGCTCAGGGACATCACTGCCCAGGAGAGAGAATAATCATCTCCTCAGGTGTAGAGGAAATTGCTGTAATGCTGTTGCTTAAAGGCCACTCAGCTCATGCACTTGGAGGACTTGTGGGGCTAAGGGGAGTCCACTAGCTTTAGTTCTCAGCAACTCTCCTCCCCTCCTTTCTTTCTTATGGTTTATTTCATGCACAGAGGGCCTTGATGTCACTGTTTCCCTGTAATTTGTAGATAACATCTGTTTCGGGAGATATAGAATACTGCCTCTATCAGTGCATTTTACAAGGAAGCCCTATCTTGCGTGGAAATTAAACAAGAAATTAGAATTACTAATAACGACCCAAGTTGAACTTAAGGTAGCTAAATGAGGAGAATAACCTCATTGAAATAAAGGTATAGAACAACAAATTGTACCCATTGTAACACTTTCCACTCGGTTCCAGTCAGACCCTTCCCCAGCAGGCACCCTCTGTATACACAGTGCTCTGCACGTTACTCCGGCTGCCCTGGTAGGAGAGGGTGTGAAACAGTGAGGTGCTTGGCTCTCCCTGTCTGCTCTGCTCAGTTACCCCCTGGGAAATTATGTTCAATATTCAAGGGCTAAGAACAGGATAAGGGAGAAAGGACAGTGCCTGTTTCACTCCTATCTTGGGATAATAGACTGGACTCTGAGACAGTCACCATCCCCACAGTTATACCACTCACCTCGATGCCTCCTTTCCACGTGACTTCTATGGTATTAAAGGAATTCTTTTCAAGCCTGGTGACATGCATGAGAAAAAGAATAAATAGATGAGCTACTGATGCCAGGTGGAGAGGGTTTAAGGAACCAGGTGTCTTATGGCAAAGGGGGAGGGGATAGAGCCTACACCAGCCACATTTCACCTGGATTTATCCACTCTGCCCCATCCCTGATGAAGTTAAACGTTGGGTTTGGAGAAGAGCAATCTCCGCCAGGACGAGAGAGCAGGGGTGTGTCTGAAGGGCAGTGGTGACCCGAGCTGGCTGCCTCCCCTCTGACAGCTGGTCTTCCCTAACCAGTGGAAGCAGGTGGAGCACTTGAGTCCCTCCTGCACTCCAACCTCACTCAGCACCCTCGACTGTCACAGATATTCCACAGATGATGCGTCAGGACAAGGAAGGTAAGCTTGGGCCCTCTCCTGTAGAGCTGTTGGGTCTGTGGGAACGTTCACACCTTCCAGAGGTACCAGGGGCTCATGAGCATGTACATGGGGCAGGTGGGCCTTTCACCCAGGCCGTGTGGCAGTGTGGTCCCTAAAGGATAACTCCTGCCCTGCGACAAGGGACAGAGACGTCCATGTGAGCCTGCAGGGCATCTCTGCTCCCTGAGTGGAGCTGCACAAATGTGGTGACCTCAGGCGCTCTTTTCCAATAGTGAACATGGCTGCCATTTATTGAACACTTGCTATGTGTCGGGCAGGGGCAAAGTGCTTCTCGTTTATTCTCTTGGCTAAGCCTGTGGCAGAAGCACTTTGTACCAGTGTCCCTATTCACTTGCCTAAGTCCTGTTCCACAGTCCCCCTCCAGCACTGAGGAATGCAGTGCTCTCCTTCCCACTGCCCTGGAGGCAGGGGCAGCCCTCACAGGAGCTAATGCACCCTCACCCCTGAGTCACTTCTGTATTCATGGTGAGCAGGGTTGAGTGCCAGCCCCCTCTCCTGGTTCAGCCACACAGAAGCCTGGTGCAGGTTGTAAGTATGGGGCTTCTCAGAGACCTTCACAGGGGGGAGTGGCCCGAGGGCCTGGGGAGAGTGCCATGGGTTCCTCTCCCTCCCAAGGCAAGTGGGGTGGGCCACCCCTCCTACACCATAGCCAAAGGAGGAGTGCTCCATGGCACAATGCAGGGACTGCACATGCAGGCGGAACGCACAGCTTATCTCCCTGGCCACTGACTTATCTGAGAAGTGGGTGAGGAAGCCTGGAGAGAGAGGGCAAGGGAGACAGACAGATGCAGCCAGTCCTGCTCAGTGTGGCATGAGTGGACATGCAGAAGTCCCCAGGCCTGGCTTGACCTGCAGGGGTGGGGGTTCCAAGGGCTTTCTTCTGGTTCATACAAACCAAAGTCCTCAGTGGCTTTCCTGCATCACCTAGGACTCATGCATGACAGCAACATGTGGACACCCCCAGCTGGCAGAATCCTCCTAGAAAAGGCTGAACTATCACATCACCAGGGAGGGGAGACCCCAGTTGCTTCCCATCTCTGCTGTCATTCCTCCTCACCCTTACCCCCAGAGCAGCTAAAACCAGAAGTGAGAGGAGTGGAGTGAGAAAGCAAACCTGACTTCACCCGGAGGTGTGGGTGGTGTGCTGACAACCCAGGGCTTACCCCAGCCTGGAGGAGCCCCTGGTACCTCTGGAGGCCCTGACTTGCAGTGCTCCCATCCCTGTGGTGTGAACAGTGGTATCGGCTGTGAGCTGCCAACACTGCACTCCTGAGCACAAGGCTGAAAACTATGCACAGCAGGGTTCCCTTCACCCCACAGGTGTGATGTACACCCTCAAAAGCAGAAATACTAGTAAAATGCAGTCAAAGAATTAGGAAATAATTAATATTTTGAGTATCATTATCTTTGTTTCTAACATAATTCATTGTAAGTTTACATAATTTAGTTTTTATGATGGCTCTGTTCAATGACCACTGAAAAGTGCACACTTGGCCCCAGGCACATTCTAGTGGGGAGGGCAGGAGGAAGAGATGGGTCCAGTGATGCCCAGCATATTGTCTTAGGGCACTGTGCCTGGCCAGCGCCCTCCTGTGCCCTGCAGCCACACACAGCCCAGGGGTTGCCACGGCTCTGGACTCACAAGAAAACCCACTGTGCGCTCTTTCCGCAAGCAGGCACCAGAGATAGCGGCCACCAGAAGATGCCCCTGAGAAAACAGACCCCGGGGTTTTCAGAGCTGCACACACTGGCAACGCTTCCCTAGTAGGGTCCACTCTGTGACCTCCCAGGGACACTCCAGAGCCCGGCCACAGTCCCTCTGCGGAGCTGCCTCTGCCCTCTCCCGAGGCCCTTCCATTTGCCCCTCATGCCCACCTTCGGGATGCAGCTCCCTCTGCCCAGCTGCGACCGCAGAGAGCTGGCGGCCGTGGCCTCGCGAGGAAGCGCCTGGCGCAGCCCGGCCTCAGGCCTCGCGCCGGGAGGAGGCCGCGGCCCGGCGCGGGGCGGGGCAGCTGCAGGCGGCCTTGTCCCAGGAGAGGCGCGGGAGGAGCCGGGACTCAGTTCCGGAGGAGATGGGTTTGTGTCTGCCCTGACCAACGGCTTTGCTTGTGCTGCCGGTGGCGGGTTCCCATCGCGATGCAGTTTCTCGCCACGGGCCAGGCTTGCAGGCCGCGGGACAGGCGGCGCGCTTCACGCAGCGCCCCGGCCCGCAGCGCCCCGGCCCGCAGCGCCCCGGCCCGCAGCGCCCCGGCCCGCAAAAGCGCGGTCCACTTCCAGCCGGCCGCGCGCGGGAGGGTCCGCCGGGCTCGGGATGGAGCTGGAGGCCCGCGGAGCTCGCCTCTGGCCCGAGCGCCCGGGTCGCTCTCCGGCCGGACCCCGCCCACCCAGCCCGGACACGCCGCGCCCCCCGGGCTCCTCCCTCGACGTCCCGGCGCGGGATCCAGCCCGTTCTCATTCCCATCCTCGGGGTCGCGGAAGCCCTCGGGTTCTCTGCGCTGCCGCGCAGCTGAGCGCTCGGGGCGCCGGCCTGGTCCCGAGGGCGGAGGGGGTGGGGGGGAGCCGGCCTGCCCCGAGGCGGGGGGGGGGTGAGGGCCAGCCTGGCCCCGAGGGCGGGGGGGGTGAGGGGAGCCGGCCTGGCCCCGAGGGAGGGGGCGTGGGGGAAGCCGGCCTGGCCCGAGGCGGGGGGGGTGAGGGAGCCGGCTGGCCGAGGGGGGGGTGAGGGGAGACGGCTGGCCCGGGGGGGCGTGGGGAGCCCGGCCTGGCCCGAGGGCGGGGGGGTGAGGGCCGGCCTGGCCGAGGAGGGGGGCGTGGGGGAGCCGCCTGGCCCGAGGGGGGCGTGGGGGGAGCCGGCTGCCCGAGGGAGGGGGGCCGTGGGGGGCGGCCTGGCCCGAGGGCGGGGGGGTGAGGGACCGGCTGCCCGAGGGAGGCGTGGGGGAGCGGCTGGCCCGAGGGGGGTGGGGGAGCCGGCCTGGCCCCGAGGGCCGGGACCCGCTCGCCCCACTCCCTGCCTCCCTCTCGGGGAGCCGCTGGCCAGGGAAGCTCCTGCCTCCGTCCCTTTGGTGACCGCCGGACGAACTGGAGGTTGTTCGCGCTGGAAGGGGCCAGACTGCCCAGGGCAGCAGCCGCGCAGACGAGGATGAAGTGACGCGCCGCGGCGGCGCAGCCCACGGGGCAGTCCGCACTGAGCAAGGACGTCGCTCGCCCTGGCTGTCCTCCTCAACCCCCTTTTCTTCACAAGTGGACGATACATTTGTTATTTTAAAAAATCTCAATCTAAATATTTTTAAAAGTTTAATGTTTTGCGTAACGGATGTAGTCCTAAATGTCAAAAAAAACCCCACGAATTTTCCTTGCAGTCCTTACGAACGTGATGGAAAGCCCTCCGCGTGGTGGCATTTGGAACCTTTAGAGCTCTGGGCAGGAGGTGGTCACAAAATCTCACCCCGGCCCGGCGCGGTGGCTCACGCCTGTAATCCTAGCTCTCTGGGAGGCCGAGGCTGGAGGATTGCTCAAGGTCAGGAGTTAGAAACCAGCCTGAGCAAGAGCGAGACCCCCGTCTCTACTGTAAATAGAAAAGAATCAATTGGCCAACTGATATATATAAAAAAATTAGCCGGGCATGTGTGCATGCCTGTAGTCCCAGCTACTCAGGAGGCTGAGGCAGGAGGATCGCTTGAGCCCAGGAGTTTGAGGTTGCTGTGAGCTAGGCTGACGCCACGGCACTCTAGCCAGGGCAACAAAGTGAGACTCTGTCTCAAAAAAAAAAGAAAAATCTCACCCCGCAGGTCGCCTGAGCGAGCACAGTCATGGGGTTGATGAAACGTTTGAAGTCCTCTGAATTGAGTGTCTCAGCTTTAGTTGTTCGTACTTGCTCTCTTTTGCCAGGAAAAAACCACAGCATGTAATCATTTTCAGAAAAGAGTCGTGTTTTAGCAACATGAAAAAAATATGTCCATGCTGACGCAGAACTTTGACTTTATGTTCCTTATGCAGGGAGAGGCAGAGTCCCCAACGAGCCTGTGACATCGTAGGAAGGGATCCAGTCATCAGGTTTCTAAGAGGGATTTGCTTATTGGAGATTCATGGTTGTCAGAGGAAACTCCCTGTCTGTAACTTGAGCGCTCCGCGGCCACAGAGTGGACGGTGACCGGGACTAGCAGGCGCTCTAGGTTGGTAGAACCTGAGTCTTCACAAGGCAGATTCTCTTTAGGATCTGCATATTTCATTTCTGTAAATTTAATGTTTAAAACGTTAAAAAAATTTCTTCTTTTATAAAAAGCAACCCTTCTTCATTGCACTATTTTCAATAAAGTTACAGGGTAAAAATGGAAAATATTTCCCATAAAGTCAATAATCAAGAAACTAATTTTTCTTAATTAAGCAAATTTTCTATTCATTTAATAAAAACTATACCCCAAAAGTGCCCTGTAGGCAGCCAAGGGACACAGGAATTTGGTGTCTCTCCAAGGAGTTTGCATGCCTGCCACAGGAGGAGTCAAGAGGACTTGAGATGGTGCTCCGAGGGGCATCTTTATTTCAACCGTTATTTTAAATGAATAATGGGAAATAGATACATTACTGGCACATCAAATATGTGGCTTTTTATAAATTTTTATTGGTTAGCATGATGCTAAAGTAAATGTTTACATTTAAAGAGTGAGTTAAGCTAAAGATTTTAAGAAAATGACAATATTTTAAAAAGTATTTTCAGAGGTAATATTTAAATGGATAATAGTATATTAAATAACTAAGAGTCATCCTAAATTTTAACTAAATATTTAAATAAATAATCATAAACAAAAAATTTGAAAGTGGTATAAATATGACTGAAATTTAGGAAACACTGAGCTAAGGTACTGCCCTACTCTTAAAGGTGCTTATAATGAATACCAGGTATACAGTATAACAGTAGCTGCTAAGGTTTGAATGTATCCCCTGAATTTTATGTTTTAGAAACATAACCTTCAAATTCATATGTTGATGGTGTTTGGAGGGGGGACCTTTGGGACGTTATTTGGATTAGATGAGGTCATGAGGGGCCCCTATGATGAGACTGGTGGCTTTATAGACAAGGAAGACAGACCTGAGCTGACACACTTGTCCCCTTACCATGTGATGCCCTCAGACACGTGACATTAGGATGCAGCAAGAAGGCCCCTACTAGATACACTGGTGCCCTGCTCTTGGGCTTCCCAGAACTATAAGAAATAAATTTCTTTTCTTTATAAATTACCTGGTCTATGGTATTCTGTTATAGAGACAGAAAACAAACTAAGATAATAGCCAATGTTTACATAGCATTCAATGCCCCAGACATTATTCTCAGCACTTTATCCACTAATCCTGACAATAACCCTATGAAGACAAGGGTGCCCCATTCTACAGCAGAGAGCTTTATAGCAGGAAGATGGAGCACCTGGGTAGGACCAGCTGGGATTATCTTGCTTCCCTGACACTTGCAACCCTCATGAGATACTTACATCCCTGCCCTCAGTGCCCCCATCTACAGGGTGGAAATGCAATGCCTGTCTCCTAGGGAGACTTTAAGGATCATGGGATCTGATACACGTCAACGCACTTAGCACCCAGTAAATGTTAATTTAAAGTGAATTTAAATGAGGGTTAACTAGACCTTAACACTTAATCCCAGATCCTTGGTTCTTCTCTCTTTGTGGAGCAGTCCTATTCTCTCTGCTTCAACTCTCTTTCCCCACCTAAACGGATTGGTGCTTCCATCTGTGCAACATCTCTCAGTTGGCCTCTTTTCAAAAAGGCCAAGTGCTGGCCGGGCAGGTGCGGTGGCTCATGCCTGTAATCCTAGCACTCTGGGAGGTTAATGTGTGAGGACTGCTTGAGGTCAGGAGTTTGAGACCAGCCTGAGCAAGAGTGAGACCCCATCTCTACTAAAAATAGAAAGAAGCCAGGTCTGGCAGTCAGCGCCTATAGTCTCAGCTACTCCAGAAGCTGTGGCAGTTGGACCACTTGAGGCCAGGAGTTTGAGGCTGCTGTGAGCTAGGCTGACGCCACAGCCCTTTAGCCTGAGCAACAGAGTGAGACTCTGTCTCAAAAAAAAAAAAAAGAAAAGAAAAGAAAGAAAAGAAAAAAGAAAAGAAAAGAAAAGAAAAGAGAAAAGAAAAGAAGGAAGGCCAAGTGTATCAGGAAGTCTGGGTTGATGCTGGAGGACCGCTCACCGGCAGCCTGGATGTGGACATATGGTGCCACCTCGCTGTCTCTCAGTCCCTCAAAGACAGAGGGAAGGCAGGTTGGCTTCAGAATCAGAGCTGAGGCTTGGAAACCAGAAAGATCTGGGTTAGAATCCTGGGTTCCTCTTTCAGTTGTTCAACTTTCAGCTAATAACTTTGTGTTTCTGTGCCTCAGTTTCTTCACCTTAAAAAAGGAGAATGAAAATATTTCCTCCTCAGAGACACCCGGCCCGCAGCGTCTGTCTCAGTACTCGCCTCCCATGCCCGCCCGGGGCTGTGCTGTTGAAGCTGGTATCCCTGGAAACCAGCAGAAGGTCAGGAACACAGTGGGTCTTCAGCAGATGTTTGCGGAATGAATACATTTTTTAAAAAATCAATGTTTTTCAGAAAATAACAAGCATTGGTGAGGATGTGGAGAAATCGGCCCCCTTGTGTGCTGCTGGAATGTAAACGGTGCCGCTGCTGTGGCAAACACTGTGCGCTCCCATAAAAAGTTAACTAGAGCCCATGTGACCCAGCAATCTCGCCTCTGGTATATACCCAGAAGAATTGAAATCAGCGCCCAAGCCCCGTTTGCCCACCCATGCTCACAACAGCATCATCACACTGCAAATGTGGAAGCAACCCACGTACAATGACAGCTGAATAGATAAACAAAATGTGGTCTGTCCACACAATGGAATATTACTCAGCCTTAAAAACAAAGGAAATTCTGACACATGCTACAACATGGATGAACCTTGAGGACATTGTGCTGGGTAAAATAAAGCAGACACAAAAGGACAAATACTGTGCAATTCCACTTATGTGCGGTCCCTAGAGTAGTCCAATGAAAAGACACAGAGAGCAGACTGGTGGTTGCCAGGGGATGCAGAGAAGAGAGACGGGCAGTTCACTGGGGACAGAGTTTCAGTTTTGGAAAATGAAAAGAGCTAGAGATGGATGGGAGTGATGGCTGCACAACAATGTGAATGTACTTAATACTACAAACTGCATACCTAAAAATGGCTGAGACGGTAAATTTTATGTCATGTATATTTTCCTCAATAAAAAAGTATCAACATTTTTATGCTTCCTGTTTCCAAGTGACCTTAAACGTTGATGTTAACATGAAGGGAAACAGTGGGGCCAAAAGCAAGGCAAAAGCCTCCAGGGGCACAGGGGTGGGAGATGACTGAGAGAGGGTCCTGGGATGGGGGTGGGGGGTGAGGCTGGAGAGGAAATAGCAAAGTCCATCAGAGGTCCTGGCATGGTGGTGGCCACAGCCAGAAGGCTGAGACAGGGCTCATCCAAAGTGTACTAGGTCAGAGGACAGAGCATCCATCCCAGAGAAAATGATTTGGAGAGGAAGGTATGCAAAGGGCAAAGGCAGGGGAAAGAAAGGGAGAGAAGCTAGGCCCTGGAGGTAGTCCCTGGTCTCTGACCAGGCCCAGAGCCCCTGGTCCCTGCATCTCCTGCCACAGAGAGGGGCTCCTGAGGACCCCACATAGCAGCCCAAGAAACTGAAAAACCACCCAAAAATGTAAAGGGACTTGCCAACTTAGAAAGATTGTATTTGTGCTTTTTCCCTCCCTTCTAGTAACAAAATATGTGGTCACTGGAAAAATTTGGAAAAATATGAAAAAGCACACAAGAAAATTAAAAGTCCCTATAACCTCACTTCTCAGAGATAAAATTTATACTATTGACTATTCTTTTTAAAAAATTACACATGGATTCCATAAAATTTTTTAAAAATTATGTTATTTTGAAACCCACTTTCTCTTCATACAACAAAGTAACAACCATTTCTCATGCCAAAAAATACTTGTAGATGGCACCATTTTTAAGTGCTTACACAGCATTTCATGCTACAGATGGACCGTCACTGAGCCAGTGCCCTAGTGGCTGGTGGTGGACTTGCTGGACACACCCACCTAAGGTTCCCCCATTTAGTCATTTCTCATCTATTCATCGGGTGTGGACTGCGGGCCAGGCACTGTCCCAGGTACTGGGTTTATAATGGAACACACAGTTCCTGTCTTCAAGAGAGACACATTAACAAGCAGGCAATTACAGTAAAAAATGGCTGGTGTTATGCTATGATCACAGTAGGTACAAACAGCTAACGTCCATAGTGGTGTAAGTCTATTGCTCGTTTTCAAGAAAGGTAATTCATATTTTCTTTAACAATATCGTTTTCATTTTAAGCTCTTGTTTCACTAGGGTGACGGAAGCTCAAGTTCAATTCATTTGGATCCCTCCCCTTCCCTGTGTTGGGACTAAATTTGGCCTGGCATCTGTGGAGCCAGAGCACATGGAGTGGTCTGGTCCTCAGCCTGGCCCTGCTCAGACACAACCTGGGCTGCCTGCTCCTCAGTCTCATGTCACTCGTCCACACAGGTTACCTGGAGTCACCTTTCAGTCCTGCCCCCAGCCCCTCCACACCCCTCTTCCCAGGAGGCAGGTCATTCTCCTTTAGCAGGGAGCAGCTGGAGTCTGCACGGTTTCTTCTCACACTCGGACTGCCCTTCTATAGTCCGGGTAGGAGGCAGGAAGGGGTGAAGGGATTTATCTTTCTCAAGTTTCTAGACAGTCTGAGTCTTGGTCAGCAGTGTCTGAGCTGCTTGGGGAGTTAGAAAAGGGGAGATGACACAACTGGGGAAACTGTTTCTTAATATTTCAGAAATGTCACCCTTCACAGACCCAAACAGCATGCAATAAGAAGAGAAGGAATGCTTCCAGAAAGACAGTATACCACAGCCACCACCACCCCCAGAAGGGGACTTGCCAGGTGAGCAGATGGCAGCAGGGAAGTCTCCCAGGGGACAGGTTGGGGTTGCCCTTGAGGGTGTCCCTAAGGACAGCAGTTTGTCAACAGGTTGTGAGGCTGGTTGTCCTTAAACACCCTATAATTCATAACTCTATTCTGATTCAGCAGATATCTATCTGCCTGGTTTAATTTAGGTATAGCCTGTCCCAGAAAAAAAATGAGATATTATGACTCTGGAGAGATGCAGTAGAACTTGGTGCATTTTTTGGCCCAGATGAGCATTGGCAGTGTGTGGGTACAGGCATGTTTGGTTGTCGGGTGACAAGTGCTTTTAGGAAACTGAATCTAATACAGTCAAACTTGCACTCTAGTTAAGGAAAGGGTTAACTGACAGAATAAACATTGGTACCTGAGGAAGGTGCAAAATTACTCAAGAACAAACTCAGGGCTCAAAATCCTTGGAAACACTCTTTTAGATATAAACACTATTTGAAGAAAACTTGTTTATGGACTGTACTGACTTGAATCCATCCATATTTGTTGAGCAAATAGAGCCCCAAGAAACAGCATGATAGTTTATTTTTCTATTATTTCTATTTGGTTTTGCAGAAATCAAAATATTTCTCCCTCAAATATTGAGGATTGCTAAGTCAAAGACACTGAAAAGGCAGAGACACTGCCTCAGCCCGCTTGGCTGATGGCAGGACACGAGTCCTTTCTCACTGGGGACGGACAGCACGTGGCACCGGAGAATGTGGCATCTGGGGACAGGGGTACCACCTTCCCACATTTTCCCACTGTTGAAGGATGGGAACTTCTCTTTCCTTTGTCTTGCCACTCTGCTAAGATCTATGGCTCTTCGTTCAACTCCCGTTATGGAAGGCCCCAGCCACTGTCTTGAGAGAGACTTCTGAACTGGGCCCCTCGCGTGGTGGGCACAGTGTGCATCCATCACCTTCTGCTGTTAATCTGACTTTTGTTTTCTGAAAGTGTCTCAACTAAGAATTTATGGGAGATGAGAACAAAGATTAAACTTTCTCTCCTTCAGTTTGGCAACCACAAAGGGACTACTGGAGATGAGTGGAGTCTGGGTGACCTGGCAAAGCCAGCAGGAAAGGTAGGACCAAAGAACAGCTCTTCAGGCCTCTGTAGTGACGGGTACAGAGGGAAACATAAATGTTTTTCTTTATTCTTTCCTTTCCAAATTCAAATTAACAGGAGAAAATTATTTGTATAAATTGGCTCTTAGATATAACAACCCTGGTTTTTTTGTTTTATTTTGTTTTTTTGTTTGGCTTATTGGTTTAAGTTACCTTGAAAAAATTAAACTGGCTATATTTCAAAGAAAGATTTTTTTTTTTTTTTTTAAGAGAAGCTCTCTTTCCAAGTGCCTGTACCTTCATTATAATATTGACAGAACGCATTCAGCCAGGTCTCTAAACCTTTCTCAGTCCCTGGAGATGTCAATCTCACTGTCTTTGAAATGTTAACATCCAGGGAGTTAGATAAACGGTATTCCAGCAGAGATTGGATTTGAAGCAGAGTTAAAGTTTTTTAGACCCGCCACACAATTTCTTTCCCTCAGGGGATACCTTTAGCTCAGGAGATAAAGATTTATATGAATCCGTTTAAATTGCTTGTCTTAAATTGTTTGTATGACCTTTGGCCTTTCGGGGTACCTAATCTGGCTTTTCTTTCCTGTAAAGACCGTTTTTCTCCTTTGTTCTTTTGGACACTCACGTTGTTAGGCCTTTGTGTGCAGGTGGTCCAGAGGTGGGGAGCTTGCGCACTTCTGATTTCAAGAGTGTTCTTTTTTTAAGTACCAAAGGAAGCAAGAACAGCTTCAGCTTTCTCTGGTGCACCCCTTTTAATAAAAGGATTTGTTCTATAAAAGTTGGATTCAGTCAACAGACCATACTGAAGGATCCGGAAGGCCACACGTGGCCCAGAGGCCGCAGGCTCCCTGCCCCTGCAGTGTACCCCATTTGTCGCTAGCTAAAATCTCCTATCTTTTAAGATGACATTGAGAGTGGCCCGGGTCTTGTTGCAGCTTTTGCTCCCTGTTTGGAGACCTTGGTGTTTTGGTCTCATGCATGGATATTTGTTTTGGTTTTGAGTCATTTGTTCAGGTATACCTTTGATTTAAAACTTTGGTTTATATTTAGAGTGTGATAGAAACTATTTTTTGTTGTTATACTCAAAAAAAAAAAAAGAAAAAGAAAAAGAAAAGAACTATTAAGCATTTTAGAGACAACCAGCTCTAAATCCAAAACAGAAAAATCTTTTGATTCCCACTTAAGCTGGAAAGCTACTCCCTGATATAAAAGAGTGAATTAAAGATAGTGCAGTTGAATGGATGGGTCAGTCCCTGGAGTCAGTCAGGCTGCAGCACAGCTCTTATGGGGATTGAAAGCAACTATCTGTCTCACAGATGGAGTCTATGCAAAAACAGAAGTGTGCCTCTTAGAACAGCTGGTAGCTCACCTATTTATATTGAGATGCTTGCAGAAAATGTAAGAAATCAAGACATTAGAAACAAGATTGTCTTACTCTTAAAAAAAAAAAAAGAAAAATTTTAAATAGTGATTGCCCTAGACCTCTATCAGGCAAATATGCCTCCCCCTGCCCCACCCCTCAAAAATCTTTTTTGGTGTAAATTTCAAAAAAGAAAAAAATCAAGTAACAGAAATGTTTGCTATTTACCTGGCTTAATTCTGATAATAAGATACTTTAAAAAATTATTTTAAAAACCCAGAAGTCAGCTTAATTAAAACTTGATTTTAGGCTGGGCACGGTGGCTCACGCCTGTAATCCTAGCACTCTGGGAAGCCGAGCCTGGAGGATCGCTTGAGCTGGAGTTCGAGACCAGCCTGAGCAAGAGCAAAACCCTGTCTCTACTAAAAATAGAAGGAAATTAGATGGACAACTAAAAAT